CAGCTCATTGCATATAATGATTATATATAGGGTAGTTTTCACAGTGGAGGCTTGTATTTCACTAAGTCGGTCCTAAATTAGGTTCGACGTACAAAACGTTAGGAACTTGCAATAATGGTTAATGACGCAGCAATCTAGTTGTGGGGCTCATACTTTAATGTCCGACATCGACTGACTCACACAACTCACTGAGCTCCACTGGCGAGTGCAACAACTACTACTTATCCGTAGGAGTAAAAATTTTTCTTTCTTTATTTATTTTTCAAATTTTTTTTTTTAGCAACATAGCGTATTTCCTACGTTTTGGGTCCACTTTTAAATGATCAGTTGCCTTTCTTTTTTTTTCTTCTGGATCTGCGTACCTCAGGTAAAATTATTTGCAGGCGTTGTTAGATCAAACGTATTGAAAATCACCTCCATCGGCGTTTTTTTTTTTTTCGCGGGACCGCTGTCAACCACGTCTGAAAAACGTCGTCTGATCTCGTGAGTTTTTCCCTTTTCATCAAGTACATATAGCCAATCCGCTTTTCTATTTATTTTTATTTTTATTTTTATACCTCCATAGTGTTACCAGAAACAACCTTCCGCTTTGAACTTCTTAAAAATGGACTCACAGTTTCTGTAGGTTGTTCTTGTTGACTTAAATCATTTAATAATACTGCATTCCTTGGCTGCGGGTAACTTGTTCCCCAGTTTTTCTCGGTGTCGGCTTCATTTTTACTTTCTGGAGCTTGTTTTTCACATATATCGTCGGTGTTACCCATTCAACTTTTTTAAATACACCGGTTTTCTCTAATCTGCCCAATTCTTTATCTATCTGTTCAATTGAAGCAAACAGCACATTCCGTTTCTTTTTGAATACCGCCTGAGCGTTTTCTTTTGGCTGTAATTTTGCCTCCATCTTGGTACATGTTCCCAAACCTGGAGAAAAAACAGTAGGAAAAGTTCCCTTAAGTTTTTTTTTTACTAATTTTTGGGCTTCGTAGTTTAAAAATGCTACGTTGTAACAGAAAGAATTAATCGGTAAATCCCATAATTGAAATTCTGTTATCCAATTCGTACCAAGTAAGTTCGTGGTATTTTTTATGAAAAATAGTTTAGCTTTTCGCGTTTTTTTATTTAACGTGACGTTTGTAACAATTTCTCTAATAAATTGTATTTTTTCTCCCGTCACTGACCTCGCGATTTTATTTGTTTTCATTAAAGTTGTTTTCCCCAACTTCTTCCACGTATTCAAATTTATGATAGATAGGTCGGAACCAGTATCGAGTTGCATTTTTATTTTTTTATTACTTATTTCGACGGTAACAAATTTTCTGGTTATTCCGTCGTTCACTTCGTCGGACTTTAATTTTATTATTTTATTGTCTTTATTTTTTGACCTGCAGTGCGAGCTTTTATGACCCACTCTTTCACAGTTGAAACATTTTTTATTCCTAAAATTGCAATATCTGTACCAGTGTAGTTCACTGCAAGCAAAACATGGCTTTAGGAGTTTTTGTTTATTTTTTTCTGGTATTTCACTTTTTGTTTGATAATCCGCAATTTTAGAATTCTTTTTGGTAGACTTACTTTCTTTTTTGTAGTGTATTTTCCTTACATGCGAAACGCCAGACTGTTCTATATTTTTCGAATCTTTCTTAATGCTAACATATCTTGTGCAGTCTTCTGCCAAACTCTGTATCGTAAGTATTTGTTGGTTTTCCAATTTTGATAATACCAATTTCCTCAATTCTGCGTCACTTTCCGATACTAGCCTTTGAACAAACACTAAGCACTTAAAGTTGTCAGTGCTTAACTCTGCTAGCTTGAATTCTTCATAATGCTTGCTCACATTGGCTGCATACGTTATATAGTCTTGTTCTTCATCTTTCATCAGATTCAAACATTTCCACCTCTTGTGAAACAAAGATGTCTTTTTACTAAATAATTCACTTAATATATTTACCACATCGGTAAAAGTTAACTCGCTAGTTTTTTTCGGTAAAATGTAGTTTACCAATTTGTTATGCTCAGCAGTTCCTAACTTGCTTAAAAGAAGTCTAACCTTTTTTCTTTCAGACCATGTGTGGCACTCCTCGTTATACACGTCCGTATATTTTTTAAAATACTCTTCAAAAGTTATTTCTTCATCTGGACTGTACGTGAATATTTCAATTGAATTCCATATTGTATTCTCTGGGAAAGAATCATTTTGTAAATTTTTCTCTTTCCTCTTCTCAGTTATTTCCAGAATTTTGTTTTGAAACTCCTTATGCATCTGTTCCATTTCTCATTGAAATTGAATCTGTCTATTAAAAGTTTCCTCCTGTAGTTACATCTGGAATGTTTTCTGTTGCTCTAATATTGTCATTTGTTGTTCCGTCTGGAACTTAAAAAATTCCTGGAATATATTTTTGCATTCCTCCATCTTCGCAAAAAGTTTACACAATGCTTAAATATTGTAGAGGGGGGTCCTAACGAATTTGCAATTCGTGACCTATTTGAGCAAACTCTCTTTTCGAGAAAAAAAAATCTTTCCTCAGTTGAGAATACGATTAATTTTTTCGTCACTAAGTTGACGTCTTGTCTTTTGAAAAACTTTTCCAAGTTTTTTTTTTTTTTTTTTTTTTTAGATGTGAATCCGAGATGTTGCCGCCGAAAATTTGACGAGCAAATTTTTTTTTCTTTTTCCTCCGTATGAAAAACGAATTTCGTCACTAAATAACGTGGCGAGCGAAATTTTTTTTTCCCTTCACTGTATGAAACCCAATCCCTCGTACGCCACGTTTGTTATGAAGGGTGAATTTTTTTTTCTCTTCTGTATGAGTTACGAATCCACGTCGACAAGTGTTGTAGAGTGAACGCAAAGTTTTTTTTTCCGTATGAATCCAAAATACGTTCGTCGCCAAGTGTATATGGCGAAAAGAATTTTTTTCCGTATGAGAAACGAATCCCTCGTCGCCAAATGTGTTGTAGCGTAGTTTTCACAGTGGAGGCTTGTATTCACTAAGTCGGTCCTAAATTAGGTTCGACGTACAAAACGTTAGGAACTTGCAATAATGGTTAATGACGCAGCAATCTAGTTGTGGGGCTCATACTTTAATGTCCGACATCGACTGACTCACACAACTCACTGAGCTCCACTGGCGAGTGCTACTACTACTACTTATCTGTGGGAGAGTCTATTTACAATAGAATAGGTACGTTCCGGTATAACACTTATATACCCATGCCCACTATACATACGTACATATATTTATACCCCAGCACTCACACTGTCTTACAATTTCGCCCTACCATCCCTTAGATTTGCCATATTAAACTATTTCAAACATTTTTCTTTTTTTTTTTTTTTTGAGAATAACTCAGTCGAATTTTCTTAGATAGTTTACCAGTCTGTTAGTAAATACAGAACGTGTGAATAAACTTATATCAAAGCTTTATTGCACTGTACTCTGACTATTCATCTGCTGACGGTTTGGTTTGGTTTGGTTTGGTTTGGTTTACGGCATATCAACCTCAATGGGTTATGTAATGCCGACAAAATTTTTATTGCTGGTAATATGGTTTTCTTCCAAAATCTATTTCTGGGAATATTTTTCCTTGAAGAATCTATAGATGGTCATATTTTTTCAAAGAATGTATAGCTGTTTGTATTGCTAGCACTTTTTTTTTTTAAAAGTATTGCTGATAATAATTTTTCTTTCAAAAATTATTGCTGGTAACATTTTTTTATTACAAAGCATTTCTGGTATTAAAAACTATTTTTACACAACTTTGCATGTCAACTATTTGCCCATATCTTGGACCCTGACAGATGCTACCACCCCGAGTCAGGGTGGACCTGGGTACGCCAGCAATTAAGAAGTGGTTTCACGCTCCTCAAAATCTTCTGATCAGAGGCCTTGTTGTTGGACTTAGTTTATCGTCATACCCGGGACGGTCGTCTACTGAAGGGTATTACAGAGGGCTTTTTATAACTCCTAGATCTTAAGAGGAGGTAACTGATGATTTATCAGTACACAGTCAATTTCAGAATCAGTTAAATCCTCAAAAAGCAGCTTTTGTTTTGTGTTTATGTCATTTATTTGGAAGAGGTAACGCGAGTCTCTTGAATAATTATCTGCGAATCGCTCTTTTTGTCTAGTCATAACAACTTTTGTATTGATTCTGGGGAAATTTAAAACATTAGTCCTCTAGTAGAATTTTTACCACTAATTTTACAATTTTCCTCAGAACAGTAAACAATAATTATTATAGTTGGGTTAATTTTTTTTTTGTTCGCTTTGTTACATATTAACCCTAGAACACTAACCATGGGTATATAGTACCCAGCGCAAATTTTCCTATTTTTAATTACAATTTTCCGTACCTGATTTTCTTACCTAAATAATATGTATTTTTAGTTCCTATTAATGTTAACTCAAAGTACAAAGTTTGAAGTGTCTGCATGTAAAATATTTTCAAAATCGGGTATGATATACCCATGGTTAGTAGTGGTGTAACTTTAATTGATGGTTATTGTTCTAGGGTTAAGAAAACTATTCCTTCCAACCAAACGTTAAGATCCCCACTTATATTAGAAGAATAAAAGTGCATTAATATGTATAATCTTCTTCTATCTTTCTTCCCCATCTCTTCTTTCTCACTATCTCTCTCTCTCTCTCTCTCTCTCTCTCTCTCTATATATATATATATATATATATATATATATATATATATATATATATATATATATATATATATATATCCCTCTCTCTCTCTCATAGATAATATTTACTGTTTACTGAAGTTCTGGTTATTTTAGGATCGACATAGGTATTATTATTTATTAAATTTTTGTTCATATTAAACAGAGCATAAAATCGGACATTTTGCAAGCACAAAGCGTGACAACGAAACAGAAGTTTTTTGAATATACATCAGGCTAATTATTTTCAGGCTATTTTTTTTTAATATACTTGAAGCTAATTATTTTCTCTCAACTAAGACAGAAAATTATTTGAAAGTTGGCCTTTATGTGGACTCGGAAGCTCACACTTAAAACTAAAGACTGTATACAGACATCCAGTCGACCGGAAGGTTAAAATATATTGTATTTGCCACTATATATCATTCACTGTAGCATAACACGTATTTATAATTTCACAAAATTATAGATTTTCTACTCACCTGTCCCTCTCTACTTATCTCTTTCCTATTCATTCTCTTTTGTCTTTCCACTTCACTGTCTCTCGCCTTCTCTCTGTTTGTCACCCACTCTACCTCTTTCTCATCCTTTTTCTTTCTTTCCTCCTCCCTGTACTCCGTTCTCTTTTACTTACACTCCTCTCTTCCTTCCGTCTGTCCTCTTCTTCTCTCAGCTTTCTCTCTACTTTTCTCAAAACCCCTCTTTCACTATTTACCTATCTCCTCCCTTCTTTCCTCCAATCTCGTTTTCCTTCTCAATCTTTTCAACCGTCTCACCACCTCATCCTCTCTTTTCTTTTTTCTTTTCACCCCACTCTCTTTCCTTCTCCTATCAGATGAAATACTGGTGTCATCTTCCTGCCTCTGAATTCTATGAAAGAATGTAAAAGACACTAAGAGCCTTTATATCCTTAGAAAGTTATGGAATTATTAATTTTCTGGAAAGATCCAACAGAAAGTAGTAAATAACTTTAATAAAGTCTTAATTTTAGAAAAATAAAAGAATGAAAAATATATTAAACAAATGAACTTTTTGGCTATTCAATATTTTCATTGCATTTTAGTTTTTATTTCAAACTTTTTTTATTTATTATAACGCTTTCTTTCGAGTTGTTCTTTAGCCTTCAAATTAACTTTCGAGGATTTAAGATGCAAAGGTATTTTTGAACTATACTAATAGTCTTTGATGTATACAAGAGGTGCTACCGCTCGCGTCGTAAGTTCGAACCTTACTCGAAGTTGTCATTTTATTTCGAATTCGCGTTTGTTTTGTTTTACTGTATATCAACCTCAATGGGTTATTTAATGTACTATATTGTCTTACCCAGGACGCGCGAATTCCTGTAATTTCATTGCAAGACCCAATAATATTATGTTAGAAAACATTGTGATAAAACAGCAACAGAAAGATGTTAAAAAAATAAGAAATATTTAATTCCATTTTATCCGCTCAAACATTGTCAATTTTTTACAAGTGTTTCTTTCATCTTAATTTCGTCTTAAGTAACTAAAGTCAAGATAATATTACATTTCTGATAAAAACAAATGTTATGTCTCAGGTCGTAGGCGATCATGACTTTCTTCTATTCCTTTTCTTTATTCTTTGTGAATAGACGGATTTTTTTAGAAAGGCATTGGAGCAGGTTTTCTTTCTACTCGGTTCTGAATTCAGTATAGTCCTTCTCCCAGCCTGACTATCACCCAAGGCTAGAAAGCAAAGTCTACCATACTATTTAATCGATAGATTAGGGAGAAGAGATCGAAATAGACAGAGTTATACATTTCCTAAGGTTATTAGTACGAAGTGAACGAGACTAACTCAGTCGGAATTTGAACTCGGCACACCGATCATACTTTTTGCACCGATAGCCGTCATGCTACCGCTACAATATTACTGCTATCATTATGATTATATACAATAATATGGCACAGAGTGCTGGAGAAAGAACAGAGAATTTGTTTAAGTGTTAGACTTGATATTAATGGTGAATCAATCTGGCATAAAAGGGAAACACGTTGTTAATTTTAACGTTTCTCTTTTAATTGACTTAGAGAAAAATATCTTCCTTCCATCCAGGAGCGTGACATATTGCAACTTCTTTGTCTAACGTTTTCCACAGACATGAATCGATAGCTAAGTCTGCTGTCAGGAGAGTTGGCTCACAATGTCATTTTAGACAATTTTTTGTTCGTTAGAATCTATTTCACAACGTCATAAGTCTACCATTTGCTTGCGCGCATTAAATATTTTCTTCCACATCTGGTCTGGCACTTCCGCTATTTTTTTTTTTTTTCAAAAAATCATTTCAGCCCAAGGAATTCCACTAGTACACAGGGCGGTTACAGGGAGTGATAGTGAAAGGAGAACATTGAGAACAGGGAGGATTGAGGAAGAGCCAAAAAAAAAAAAAAAAAAAAAAGGAAAAAAAGAACGAGGATCAAGACCACAAAAATGGCGATTGATGATGCATTTAAATTTTTGAAGATTAGAATTGTCAGGGAAGCAAGAAAACGCAAGAGAGTTCCACAGACAAGAAGTGCGAGAAAACTGTTGTAGTAGAAGTGGCGATTACATTAAACTACTTCAACAGTAAAAGGGTGGGACTTAGATGTCAAACTAGCACAATTGTGGTACCAAGAAAAAAAAAGCTCGTCGGCTGAATATATTTGTTGAAAAGACAAAGACAAGTTACGCTACATCGGCGAGAAAGTGACTTAATCTAGAAATTTTTGAGAAAATTCAGAGAATAATCTGCAATGTTGTCGGTCCTGAGCTGGTAGCTCCCGCCGTCGTAACATAACTTCCCTGTGCTTTTTCTATAAATACTTCCATGGTAATTATTCTGGTGAGCTTTGGTGCCTCGATTTTCACGAATTTAAGCGTAGTACTAGATTGGCAGGTAGGTCTCATCATTTTACTGTTGAAATTACTAGATGCAATCATGAGTTCTATGCTAACAGTTTCTTCTATCTTACTTCTTGCTTGTTGAACTCTTTTCCAGATTCTTGCTTTCCAGTTAATTATGATCTTCAAAAATGTAAATGCAAAGTCAATCATAATCTTTTGTCACCATAATTTTTGTTCTTTTCTTGTTCTCTCTTTTCAATAATGATATTCTCAGATTCTTTCACTCCCACTCCTTGCGTTTTAGCGGCTTTATCGTCTTCTTTGGGGTGAAATAATAATAAATAAAGATCATTCAATTCTCGCCTGGATTTTATTCTTTATCTGTTTCATGTTCGTGCTAATGGACTTAGATGGACGGTCTGAGTAGCTGCGATGAAAACCAAGTACAAATAAAAATGAAGGAAATACTAGGCAAAAATTAATGTTAAAAGTTAAAAGAACCGTATATGTTTATTTATTTATAATTTATTTAAAAGAACAATTTATGAAGGAATGGTAGAAATGAGAAACAGACGATAACTGTATTGGCAGTCGTATCTCAAATAAATAATAACACAGAAGTAAAACACAAAAGTGATAGAGATAGATAGAGATAGATAGAGAGAGAGAAAGAGAGAGAAAGAAAGAATTCTTTTCGGTGGGGCCTTCATCAAGATTGCCTGCGCAGATAAGTACATGGTTTAGGGATCAAAGAGCGACCTGTCAACACCTATCCTGGATCTATATACCACAGAAGAGACCAGGTTTCCAAACTGGGTGCTAAAAATACCTAAAACAAGGGTCACCACCTCAATCGATGTTCTCGAACAAACGTTACGGTTAAAAAGAAAAACTAGTAAGAATCACAGAATAAGAAGCATCGCTACGTGTTCAAAAAATCATTTTTGTTGGAGTGGGATGGAACACACATTTGATACTCTTCAAAACGCCATACAACAGCCCCTATAGGTTTTCTACTCAGTCAAGGTGGTGAAAAAAATGGCGGGGTGGAGGGCGTTTCATTTCGGTCTGACTTTTCTGTTTCCGAAAAATTCTTCCAAGATTAGTGTACAAGAGAAACGTAGATATTTACTTGGTTTATTTTAATCAGGCACAAGGACATAGTTCTAGAGCGGCTATAAATGATAGAGCAAGGGGAAAATATCCCGAATAAATAGCAGTAATGATGGCATATTGTCTAACATAAACATTAATACTTCAGTATAATATACGTTTTTGTTTTTTCTGTTGTTTTCACAGTGAATATTTTAGCGCCAAAATAAACCCATAATTACGGTTCCAGCTATGGATTTATTGATCCAACCTTGTATATTTATGGCTACAAAAACATTTAGATATTTAATTCACACACATAAGTCAGGCGTAAAACCAAATTTATAAAGCATCAATTATAAAAAGATTGGGCTCAAGTAAATAGACTGTGTATACACACACAAACACACAGACACATACACACACATATATATATACATGAATTAGGATAAAATATGAATTACAATCCGCCAGAATGATATGATATGAGTGTTCTTATTTGTTCTTTACTCATATATATATATATATATATATATATATATATATATATATATATATATATATATAAGTATCAAAAATCTTGGTAATCCGTATGGATAATCCCAAGGAGGATGAAAGCTGAGAGCTCAATGTTAAGTCAGAGCGAATAATTTAATATAAAGAAAAACAGACCACTTTAAGTCTCCATTTGTTATAATTCATTTCACCAGAGAATATTATTTTTCTCTGGATCTTCAGGTGAAAAAAAAAAATCTTAATACTACCCGTCAATTGTGTAAATTTTAAATTCATTTTTTCTTTTCATCTTCGAAAGTGAAGTCTGAAGATCCAGAGAAAAATAAATTTCTTTGGAGAAATAAATTATAACTAATGGAGCCTTAAAGGGGTCTGTTTTTCTTTAAATTAAAATAATATATATATATATATATATATATATATAAACCTAGTGACCCAGTCTATATTTACATACGCTCTACGGTTGTATTGAGTTAGGTTTTTTACTCGTGTCGGTGTTTTTCCTTTGGGCTTCAAACCTGTATCTGTGCGATTTTTTTTCTACAGTCTTTCATGTTTCTAGCTCTTTCATTTTTAAAACCTTTTTCCCTCGAGATTGATTTGATTATTGGCAAATCAAAAATTTGAAGGTTTTTCGAAACGTATAGTTATATATATATATATATATATATATATATATATATATATATATATATATCCCTACCCTTACCAAAATGTAGCTAATAACCGATACAATGATGCAGACATAAGGAAAACCAGACACCCCTTGTCCAGTTGAAGTAGATTTATTTGTAACCATGGAAACGTGATTTTAGCTGTGTCTTTAAAACCCAGTAATTTTAAAAGTTACTCCAAAATTCGCTTGAGGATGAAATGGAACTAATGTCTTTAATTTAATTGCAAAATTAAATTCGTGGCTTTTTAGCTTCCATTTTTGAAACATTGTTAGAATTGTGTAGCGGAAAAACATATTTTAAATCAATTAATTTATAATATTAATGCTATGTAAATTTACATCGAGCACTATTTTGTAAAAATAAAATACCTATAAGAACACCGGATTATATATCTTACTGTTCTTTCTTTTTATTTACACACACACACACACACACACACACACACACACACACACACACACACACACACACACACACACATATACATTATATATTTATATATATATATATATATATATATATAGATATAGATAGATAGTCTTAAGGTGTGCTATATTCATGGGATAAAGTCCTCAATATCAATAGGTCTATATGAACCCGGATAAATTAATATCATTTTTTTCTCTCCCCGTTCTCTTCTGCCAACTTCCGGTATAAAGAAGATAGTTGGTGTGCGCCAAAAATAACCGTCCAGTAATTCACCTGATAAGATCATAAGATCGAAACCCGGGTCGG